GGGCCTCGACCCCCGCCGGCGCGCCGCCGCGAGCTCCCGCTCCAGCTCCGGCTCCCGCCATCCCCGCGGCGCCGCCGGGAGCCCAGGGCGCCACTTCCGGGTCTGAAGGCCCATGGCGCCGGGCGGCGAGGTCACGCCCCGTCACGTGTACTGACCACGCCCCTCGGCTCAGGGGACAGGGCCTGGCGGTACCCCTCGCAGGCGCCGGGGAGCGCGTCAGTGGCCTCCGGCTGGGGGCGCCGGGGGCCGAGGCGGTCGGGGCTCGGTGCTGGGGTGGCCGTCGCAGGGCTCGGACCGGGCTGGCTGGACACGGGGATCTGAGCCGAGGCGCTGGCAATCCCCACCCAACCCTGGCCCTTTTCTCCACAGCTCAGTCCCCGCCCCTTTGCGGCCCAGACCCGGTCACCCCAGCCTCCGCCTCTGTACCCCTGGTGTCCCCCTGCCGCCCCCCCTTCCTCCTCCTGCACTCCTGGTGTCCCCTCTGTACCCTCCTCCTCCTCCTCCTGCACCCTTGATGTCCCCTCTGCGGCCCCCTCCGCCTCTTTCTTCTCCTCCTCCTGTACTCCCCCCACCCATGTCCCCTCTGTGGGCGTTAAAGCCTCTCCAGACCCTGTCCACACCCTCCAGAGCCCCCGTCCTAGCCCTAATTATAAAATACGTTTTTCCCCAAAGTAGTTGAGTATCTCTTTCACCAGGATGTGAATGACTTCTTCACAAGTGTGCCACACACGCAGGCACTGTGCTAAGGGGGGCTTTAGTTAACTAGGCCTCGAGTTGCACTTTTGCTTTGCGCCTCACCATCACCCTGCCAAGAAGGTGCTTACTACAGTCAGTGGCCTGTTCTTGTTTATAACTGGGTCCCCACTTCCTGCAGCAAGCAGAGCTATACTCCGCTAAACTCTGCTAATTGTGGATGCCCAATGTAGGTTTCTAGTAAATGGAGGCTGGAGTCTGCAGAGCCCTGAACCCTTCCTGAAGAGGTCTTTAGAATAGGACATTACCCTCTCCCCCATACCTGTCCTATGAGAAAGCCACTCTTCCTGGTCACTTCCAAATACAAACCCTTGCCATGGTCAAAACCTCCCAGTCTCCCCTCTTTGTGGGTTCCATCCCCCACCTTAGACCCCCTAACCCAGGCTTGCCCAGCTGTTCGGGGTTTCATGTTACTGTATTTTTCCTTCAAATACATTCATCAAACCTTCCACCCTCTCCCAGGAGAACTTTAAAAGACTTCCTCTTGCTCTGATTCTGATTAAATTCAACAGAGGACTTAGGCTCAAGCTAAGGTTGGGGAGAGGTTGGGGAGGGGCCACCTTCCTGACACTTCCCCCATACAAATCCTTTCCTTCCTTGGATTTTTCCTGTGTCTGTTTTTCCTTCTGAATTTGATTGTTCACTATGGGGCCCTGTACCTGTCTGGCTCTTTCACACTGTGGCTGTCTGTGAGGAAGATGTGTTGTATTGTCTTGCATTATTTTCTATTTTTAACTACCCCAAATACAGGGATGTATATGAAGTGTGTGTCAAGCAAGTTGTTTCTAAGTGACTAAACCAAACAAGTGGAAGTGGGGGCTGGAGAGATGGCTCAGCAGTTAAGAGCACTGGCTGTTCTTGCAGAGGATCCGGGTTTGAATCCCAGCACCCACACAGAAGTGAACAACTGTCCATAACTCCAGTTCCAGGGGATCTGATGGCCTCTTCTGACCTCTGCAGGCATTGCATGACACGGGTGCACTTACCTACATGCAGGCAATACACTTGTATACATAAAATAAAAATAATAAAATAACAAATTGAAGTGACAGGAAGCCAGTGTGGAGTGCACTACTGTAAAACCACTACTCAGAAAGTTCAGGCAGCAGGATCAGTAATTCAAGGCCAGACTGAGCTATGCACTAATGCCGGAGATATAAACAGACACATTTGTGTTTTTCCGTTATGTCACAAATTTTGTGAATAACAATAAATACCCAAGTGACACTGATTTCCATGACTGCAGTTTGCCAAGTACTTCAAATTTCTCTTGATAGCTGACTGTTGGTAATCACAGGTTCTTTCATAACAATCTTAGTTACTAATATGAACGCAAATTACACACCACACAGTAATTATGTCTGTCTCTCAATGTATATATGTAGAATACAGAATGACTTCAAAGGGAGAGAGGCCACAGAGCTCAAGGACTTGAAAGAGGCCATACTGGAGGGGAGAAAGCTGGTACAGAAGGAAGAAAGCCACTTCCTTAGTTAGATATTAACCAGCCCAGCTGGAGAGCTGCGGTAGGCTGGAAGAGCTGCTGTAGAGTTGAGCTGTAGAGTCCAGTGGAATTGCAAAACAGCATGAGCCTGGAAGCAAGGCAAAGGACGGGGTCCAGACGGCTGGACAAATGGATGGCAGTTCAAAGAAAACACATCAAACATTAGGGACCCAGCTGAGCTGAAGCCTCTGGGACAGCTGGGATTCTCTGTCCATTGGTCCCTTGAAATACACACTAGGTGGTCAGATGACAAAAGGGTGGGGCTGTTACCATCTAGTGTTAGGCATCCTCCTCTTTATGAGGTCCAAGTGAAAGTGCTGTGCCTTTCTCTGGTCTAGTTTGTCCAGTAAAACTCTCAGGCCTAGGTTTTGTTTTGTTTTGTTTATATTGTTTGATATGCCCATATCCCTGTTCTATTTTGCCGTTTCTGATTTATTTTTAATTTTTTTAATTCTGTGTGTGTGTGTGTGTGTGTGTGTGTGTGTGTACATAAGTGCAGGCACCCTCAGAAGTCAGAGGCATTGGATCCCCCCTGGAGCTGGAGATACAGGCAGTTGTGAGTTGCCCCAGTGTATTTGCCGGAAATTGAACTCAGATCCTCTGAAAGAGGACATGAGCTCTTAACTGCTGAACCATCTCTCTAGCCCCTAGCAGGTAGGTACCTTTTTACATTCGGGAGTAAGCAATTAGTTTGTACCTTGTGGATGTTACTGTGCAGGTGGTGGCATCCACACACACTGAATCATTGTGACTCTGTTCTTGCACTCAAAATGGAGCTAAAGGCTCCTTATAAAATGGAGTCACTCAGGCCAAGGCATAGGCAGAAATCCACAGATTTACATAATATGGAGTGACTTAGAACAGAGCACAGCCTGATCTCCACAGTGAGCCCCATCTCACATATATCTGTGTATGTGTAATATAATATATATAAATATTTATGTGTAAAAAATATAATAAAATAAGAGCTGGGCTTGGTGCTGGGTGCACGCCTTTAGTCCCAGCACTCGGGAGGCAGAGATAGGTGGGTTTCTGTGAGTTAGAGACCAGCCTGGTCTACATAGTGAGTTCCAGGCCAGCTGGGGCTACTGGGAGACCCTGTGTCAAAAAGATCAAAAAAAAAAAAAAAAAAAGCATATACATATGTATAATAAAATAAAAGCATGTGAGTTAAATCAGCCAGATCCCCCATAATACCAAACAGAAGCAAATTTACACTCAGTACATCTGCATTTTTACAACCCAAAATTCATAGGGACACCGGGAAGAAGAAGAAAAGAAAAATGCAAGTCACAGACCACTCAAAGACACATTCCGCTGGGATTCAAACCTGGGTCCTCTGCAAGATCAGCCAATGCTCTTAACCGCTGAGCCATCTCTCCAGCCCCAGAACAGGTATATTTCAAAAGAACTATGTACAGCTAGAAGTAAAAAGTTCCCTCACTAAACAACTGGCTGAAAGACACAACAATGCATGTCCACAGAGCTGTGAAGCCCTTGGCTCTGGGTAGTTAACATCCTGTGGTCCATTACTCTCTGCTCTGGCCACCTCTCCCTACTTAACAAGTTGCACTGGGGCTCCTGTAAGTGTTACAATAGCAGGCGCTAGTCTATCCATGATTAAACAACAGCAGCCTATTCATGATTGGACCCTAAGTTTGGCAGTAGGATCCTAACAAACATTTACTAGGAAATGAATCAATATGTAAAAGTGCCTTTATTTATTTTTTTCTTTTTCTTTTTGTTTGACAAGTTTCCCTAGTCCCAGCCCACCTGGAACTCTCTATGTAGACTAAGCTGGCCTCAATTTCACAGAAACATACCTGCTTCTGCCTCCTGAGTGCTGGGATTAAAAATCATGCACAACCATACCCAGGGTTTATTTTTTATTTTATATATATGAATGTTTTGCTTGCATATATGAAAGTGTACTATGTGACTGCAATGCCCATAGAAACTAGAAGAAGGTGTCAAATCCCTTGAGACTGGAGTTATGGGCAGTTGTTAGCTGCCATGTGAGTACAGGGAACTGAACCTCAGGAATCAGAGAGACCACATTTCATCCATACACAGGAAGCAGAGAACAGGAAGGCAAGGCTACAAACCCTCAGAGCCTGCCTCCAGTCCTCCAGCAACCTCTACTGCCCAAAGGTTATGTGACATTCCCAAACAGCACCAACAACTGGGGACCAAGTGTTCAAATACCTGAGCCTATGGGGACATTTCTCACTCAAACCACAATGAGATGAGGACTAAACTCAGGGAGTCAGGCTTGGTGGCAAGCACCTTTACCTGCTGAGCCATTTGCTGACCTCACACTGCAGGATGGCTTACTGACCTCAATTACACAGTAACTGTAGCTTTGCAAATCAGGCCCATGTATCCCTCAGAGGGGTCAGGACTCCCGGCTGTCCCTATAGGGCAAGGCTAGTTCCTTCCCATCATTCTTTATAGCCAGGCTAGCAGGAAATAGCTGTTCACTCCAGAAACACAGGATACTTAATAGCCCCCTCCCCCAAAAAACATTAAAATAAAGGTTTGTCCCAGAAGACCAGCCCAGTTTTCCCTACCATACCTGCTCCCACCCAAGGCAAACAGAGAAGTAGAGTCCACAGCCAGAAAACCCTGGTGTGGTAGTGCTTGCTGGTCGTGTCCTGTGAAGGTAGGATCAGGAGCTCAAGGTCATCTTCAGCTGCCTGTGGGCTCTA